TGCATAACGTCGTTTGTTGCTTTACCTGTACATCGATAAGCGTGGTGATAATATTTAAATTTTGCATGGTTATTATAAGGTAACAGTTGAAAATGTCAGCCCGAGAAAAGATCATTGTCAACTTACGCGTTAGCGGAGGTTGACGATTGTGTTTCGAGGGGTGTCAATTTTATTATTTATTATATAATTTATTTTATCATACTGAATGTCTCATTGATATTTGTCAACAAATATAAAAACTTTGATTGTCGTAAAGGTGAACCAATCTTCTGTTAAGAGAGACAACCTTCTAAGAAAAAAATCTAAGTTTTTATTACCAGAGTTTAGTAGTCAGGAGACGATTGTATTTTCAACTCTTTCAAAATATATATAGAGGATATTCAATGTTTTGTAGTTGGATATGGAATTTATTTCACGAGTGGGACAGGATTGTTTGATATTTTCAAGAGTGCGAAGCACGAGTGAAAATATAAAAAAAATCCTGTCTCACGAGTGAAATAAATTCCATATCCAACTACAAAACATTGAATTTTCTATTTATTACATTTTCTTTCATTTTCCTTTGCCTCTGTCTTTTCTTAACACAATGTAATAGGCTGTGACGTCATAGTTGAGCAGTTGAGACGTCATGGCTTAGCAATTGTGAGATGAAAACATTGTAACATGGATTTTAGCAACATATTTGGGAAGAAATTGGCAGTTTTAGTCTCTGTCAAGATGGTTTAGTTACTATCTCAATCTTATTACAGGCCATAAATTATATTTTACTTACTCCGATATCCTTTCACACTGTGAGAGAATATCACTTTTATTCAATGAATAAATCAGAGTATTTCACTGTTGAAAATGTAATAATATGCAAATATTGACTTCTGTTTTCTTTTGTTTGTATTTTTATCCGCTATTAACATGTACTCTGTTCGACTTTCCGGGCCATACAGACCCTGAGTGTTCTTCTAATTTGAGTTTTATTTGAAATTTAAAGTTTACTTTAAAGTCACACTTAATCATAAAATTTACCTTTAAAAACATCCTTATTTCTGCATTCTCTACAGAAACTATACTTTCATGAAATGATATTCAATTCAAAATAATTGAAACAATTGAAATCTCCAAAATGTCTTTAAAATTTTTGGAATATTGATGTATTTTATTTATATAATGATCGATTTACATTCAATTTGTTGTTTGATAACATAATAGCAAATCAATCTATTTATTCACAGAATAAGCCTCTCTTCATTGGATAATGTATTTTCCACAGGTGCTTGTGGACAGGATCCCCACCCCTAATAAATACCGGGTCAAAAATATTTTTATTTGTCTTCTTTCATAAATTTTTCTTCCAGCACAAATTCAATTATGGTGGCATATAATTCATCTTGCATGTAAGGGGCAGAAATATGCCACCATAATACAATGTATATCATATAAAAAATAAAAAATATATATAATAATAAAATAAAATAAATAATAATAATAAAAAAAAAATAACGTAGATCTAGAATAAACGTTTTGTTTAAAAAAAATCATACCCGCAGTATTGTAAAAAAAAAAAATCCGTTTTAAGCCCTAAAATACAGATATACATGAACTGCATTAATATGCTTTTATGTATTTTAAGAGGCAGTCCACCGAAAAACCAGGCAGTATTGTATTAATAGGCGGCACATCGAATGTGAGGAATATTTGATATTTTATTAAAAACAATATCAATGTAGCCCAAAAGGAATAATGTAATTGAAGATTTGTTTGATAATTGCTTATTTAGTAAAATATCCTTGTGTTTTGTGTTTTTGAATGCTCCTATATAAACCATTGAATGTAGGTCAGAAACAAAGAACTGTAATTTCTAATACATTTTTAACAGGACTATAATTCACACTTAACTAAATCTAGAAATATTTCAACTTTTTGTTTAAAAAATAAAATCGGTGGGAAAAACACTTTTGATAGTAGTTTTCTGGCAAAATATAAGGACGTTTTTATGAAATTTTGCGATGCAAGAGTTATCTCCCGTGGCATCGGTAAATCTGCTCAACACCTTTTTATCGGAATCCTAGTGAAATATTTAGAATCGATACACTAAAGAAAATAATTAAAAAAAAACTAAATAATTTATTTTCAAAATATAATTCATTTTCGCCTCCAGACGTAATATTTAGATTAAAATTGGCTCTATTATTCAGGTTGAATCCACGTTTCCATTGATGTATCAGTGACGTCATATACCTGACTAATATTGCGTCACAATGAAATAGTTACAAGTTTCCAGAGAAGTTTGTAAATTCTCTGCGTAAAAGTGTAAAGAAAAAGATTTTAAAAATAATTATTTCTCTTGTTCTGTTTAATTACTCTTCAGAGTGCATTATTCTAAATGTTAAATAATATTTTAATATCAAAATGTATTTTATGCACGGGCGGCGTCTCAGCTAGATGACGTTTTGATAAGTAATTTTATACATGTCTGAGAACTAATTTTTTTTAACTGATTTACTAGGATATGCGTAAAAGTAATTAATGAAGTGTTTATCATGAACATTTCTTATAGAATTGAGAATCAATGATGAATGTTTTAGATTTACGCAACACTTAATTCAACGAAGTTGAGATGTTTACTTCATGATATTTGTAAAAACTTAAATATATTCATCTATGCAGTCAAATCAAAATAAACAATCCGAAGTACGATTAAAAATGAAAAAAAAAAACCCTGAAAAATAAGTTATAAAAATATATTTATTGAGTTAAACTACTGCTGAACTCCCCACTATAATTTGGCTCTAAAACGGAAGATGGTTTAGTGAAACATTTCGGTTTTTTTTTTTACTTATTTATTTTTTTAATTTGGCGATTGAAACAATCACACACTCACATTTAATATGTTGGCCAATTCTAAAATGTTTTCACGTTCATGAAACCAATTTTTAAAAATAATGATGTCATGACCCCCCCCCCCCCCCCGCTTTTTGCTTGCGATTTATCGGCTCTTGAATAATGATACTATATATAAAAGAACTTATTTTCTTATTTATATAAAATCAAATTTTGTAAAAGAGGAAAAGGCTTTACAGATGACAGGTAAGAAAAAACTTGGATAAAGTCGAGACTGTACACATAAAAATATTTCCTGTATTTAGGCAAGTTTAATTTCGCCATTAATAGAATTTACTCTTTAATTCCTGAGGAAATAAAAAAAGAAATTTTACTTGGAAATAAGATAAATAATAAAGCTAGAAAGCTGTCTGCTCTCATTTGTTGCATAATGCATGTACAAATACTTTTTTTTAAATACCGAGTATCTATTAAGAATTCAATCAGATGTTTTACATGTAATCTTCATGTACGTAAAAGACATTAGTAATTTAAATATTATATAAATTTGAATCTATGGTTACACTCATTTAAAAACAGTTAACTGACTGAAAAGAAATAAAAGACAAGCATATTTTTCTGATAAATCAAAATGAAGAGCCAAATTTAGGAAATGTTTCTAAATTTACAGTAAAAAACGATCCCGATCCGATCGAAAATAATGCAAAATTAACAAATTTATCAAACTAAAGGCACCTGCCACCTATATAACATGTTAAAAAAATAAATCAAGTAAGTTTTTACTCATATTACAACAAAAGAGTCAAATTTAACATTAAAATTATAGTATTTTTTTCTTTATATAATTCCGGTCGGGATCGGTTTCATTTGGGAAAATTATTAAAAAAAAAAAAAAAATAGGTAAATTTGACTCCTTTTATTTCTTTCAATATACCTGTTCCCACTGATTTTATTGAGTGATTCAAAAGTTTGTACTTTGTATTCATAATAACATAAGAAAAAAATCTGTCCTTGTAATGTATTGGGTTTTATAACGTAATGAAAATTGGATACTGAAGTCAAAAAGTTACTTGCTTAACTCAAATTTGGACCATATAATTTTTTCTAAAGAAGTATAAATTGGAGTCTTATTCATTAATAGAATAAAAGATAAGAGTCTATGCTATAAATAATATTCATCGACACATCCAGCTTTTGAGTATCTGTTACATATAAAACAAAATAAAAACGTAGTAATTTTTTTTACCCTTATGTTGACCTTTTTGCACTTAAAATTAAGCATTTACCAAAAATAGGACTAGAGGAGCACTAAAACTTTTTTAATGTTGTCATGTGTAAACACTTGCTTTAATAAGTCTACATGCAAAAAATAATTAAAATCCATGACATGCGATGTGCCACCCATTGCCTGTTTTTTCGGTGGACTGCCTCTTAATTCTCATAATACCTTTCGTACTTTTTATACTTAGACTGATATAAATGTCTGAGCCCGATACATGTAAGTGTATGATGGTAAAAATATGTAATAAGTTATTACTAATAAACTCACACCTTTATTGGAAAAGAATTAATGCTCATATAATCAAGTAATCTTATACCTAAGAATATGTAGCAAAAGAAAGACAATGTTGATAGTATTTTTTAATTGTACAAGAATTATTTGATGTATGTACGTCTATGTCAGAAAATATCGCAAATACGAGGCATTAATTATTTCAAGAAATCTTGTACATAAAGTTAAAATGGCCCCCTTACAATTCAGTTCCTCGCTCTTCGATCTTTTCACAACCTAAATTAAAAGAAAAGCATCAATGAGTCAAAACCAAGTATTTATAATGTCAACTTTTCCTTTTACACTGGGAGTTTGGGATACCTGAATAGCCCACTGGTATATTATCTAAATATCAACCATCATTATATATGAAAAAGAATTACTATTATTACGGCAATTTGTGATACCGAAGAGTTTCTTTGGGAAAAGGAGGGGGGGGGGGGTGTTGTCGAATATGGATAAGAAACAAAAGTTAAAAAAATCAGCCATCTTATAGCCTATCAACTTCAGTACGAAAAGGTACAGAGTATGTAATATATCGGCAATGAATTTATATACAATATATTATAGGAGGTTTCATCACAATCCATGGTGTATGCAAAATATATTGCTTTTAATGGTTTGCTTGTGCTTTACCGTAGTTTGATGATTTGATTCTGAAGATTTTAGGATCCAGGTTGAGGGCCAACAAAGTAGCTTCGATGTCGACCTCCAAATCTAGAGGGTTCCTTTGTCGAGTTGTGATAAGGTAGGTATCTATGTGTGTTTCCTGATGCATGATCACAAAGCCCTTTCCTGGATGATCATTCATATACAAAATCGTCTGAGTCCCCAGTCTCTCTGAAAACGTAGAATATTCAAAATCGTAACCATACAATAATTTCCTTTATATACAGGAGAATAATTTACTAGTTAAAGAATGTGTGTATTAGTTTTAAGTGTTGATTGATGTTACTATATCAGTGTTAACGTTGGTATAAAGTTCTTATGACTCTTAGGATGACTTAAAATTGTAATTGTGATCCAGCATCAACTTCTATATTACATGATATTGAATGATTAAAAGAAATCTTATTTCAATAATTTTAAAAAGGTTTCTCTTAAAATACATAAAATACGTCCAAGTATTGCATAAAAAAAGGTATCAAAAAATGTAACCTTTGGTAGACATTCGAGTGACTTCAAACGTAACTGTCTCTGATTGAGGTGAATTTGAATTCAAGGGGTCAAATTTCAGCGCCGTAATACGACATTCTTCCAAATCCCTGAAAACTTATAAATGTGTCTTCGGATAAAAGATGAACATAAAATCCCTTCTCACCGTATGACTACACATACATGCACAAATAAAAGAAAAGCTGGAAAAGAAACATTTTTTTTAAAGAAATTTCATTATCATCCCCTAACAAAAATACTTTGATACATTGATTTACTTTACAAAATTACCCTAGAACTTTTTTGAGATTTCAAAGCTTTATATCTCTTTAATTTAATATCAATGATGTAAAATTCGGAAATCATGTATGAATATACATGCAATATTTCCATTTCATATAAAAAATGTGCTTGTATGAATTGGAGAACAGAAAATAGATCAATCTGAAATCCCTAATAAAACTTTTTATTTACTATAGTAAAAACTTTGATACTATAGTTAACTGTTGTAAATTATTTTAGGAATGACTCTAATTCTTGGCCAAATTATTCGAGTATAACCTGGTTTGGGTCAGTTTACGCTGTTTTATAATCCGTCATTCCTTATAATTTAATTTTAAAATCATTAAATAACTATGGGTGTAAAATTTCGTTGCTTTTTATTAGTTCAAATTTGCCGCTCAATAATACAACCATAGTAACGGAAGTAACGGAAGTGATGGGAAGCGAGGGGAGGTAAAAACTGATACATAGGCCTAGCAGCTTGTTTACATGTGGTAAGATCGAATTATTGTTTGAAGTTAAAAGTATATTTATTAAATCTGGAATTTTCCATGAATCCCGAGGACTGGAAATGAGAGGATTATATGCATACAGATGATTCAGCTGGTTGTCGGGGGGGGGGGGGTGTCCCCATACCAAACCAAGTTATACAGAAATAATTTGTGTTCCTTTTTGGATATTAACCAATCAGAGGCTAGAATACAAACAAAATTAAATTATATTTAACTATAGCATATCTTCATTAAGTAGAGAACTGTTTCATACCAGTAAAATAAGGAAAACAACTCACGGAAACCAGCGATAAAGAGTGTTTACTAAACGTCCATCGCCGAGCACCTCAAAATCCCCAAATGTGTTGTCTCTTAAGTCCGTGTTCCGTGTGTCCATAAACAGATACATGTACCATGCACCGCCCTGATAGCTAAGTATAAAAACACCATTTCTCAATTGTTTGATTTTGGTATGTTTTATCTAGCGTGTAAGCAAAAATTGGTAACAGACTATGATTAATTCTTTTTTAAAATTTTTATTATTATTATTTAGATTAAATACGTTTAAAATCTTAATTTTTTTTGGTTTGATTTTCTTTTTCAAATGTTGCAGTTTTCTGAAATATGAACTATTATTAGTATTTGACAAGTAATTTTATTTCTTTTAAAGCGAGGAATGCTAGTTTATATATATATATATATATATATATATATATATATATATATATATATATATATATATATATATATATATATATATATATATATATATATATATGTTTTATCTTTCGACGTAGGTAGTAACACAGAGGTGCAGATTAAATTCCAAAATCTCATGAATTAATGATATCATTTATAATAATCTTTTCCGTAGTTTCCTTGTTATCGAAGGGTTCAATGCATTTTAATTAAGGGCTTCTTCTGCTCAAAAAGTAAAAAAAAAACGTGCACACACAGAAAACATATTTAGACATTCCTTAACCACAACCTGAATTTATTGAACATATTAGTGCAATCAAAAATTTTCGTATTGATAAAAGAATATAAAAGGAACCTGCATATCAAGTTAAGTAGTCCGCTCAAAGTGCGTGCACACTTGTCATGCAGCTGTAATCATGCAGTGGAGTGATAATTATATACTAACCTTGTTGTGGTCCAATCGTTCTGGATTTAAGTACTCATTTCTTTTATAGCCACCAGAAATAAAAGATGTGGATGCCTCCTTATAGAATAATAGATGAGTGAAAAAGAAACTTAACATCAAATTATTCATTGTTCCGCTGTTCCTTTAAAAATGATGATATAGAAGTCTAAATTCGGCTTACATATATACGCTTATTTACGATACTCCACCTTTTTGCTCCAAACCAGTTTTGTCTGTATGGTTCATTAAAAATTTTATGATGAACAGGTAAAATATTATCATAGACGGTCATTATTTCTTTAATATTTCTGTCATTGACCGTTATAACTTAACGTATTTTTTGTAATAGAGAAAAAAAAATTAGATTAACATATTTTTGTGATATATTTCAACTCTGAATCTCATGGGAAAATAAGAAATTTAAAAACTAATTATGTTGAAAATTGGAAACATCAACAATTACTGTCAGATTACGTCTACAAATTCAAATTCTGGTATGAAGGAATTTAAATTTTCAAACAATACGAAAAAGTGTGGTTCAGCAGAAATAGATTTCATTGTTCGTTGTCTGTGTGTGCGATCATCCGAATTGATTGAATAATAATTATTAAGAAAACAAATATGAAATATGTTTAACATATTTTTTGTGTTCTGAATGTTCTGGAGAGAGTCATTTTAGTGTCACTCTGTCATCTTCAGAGCCATTCGGACAAGTCTAAGGGTCAGAACAGAGGAAACTAGATGCTGTCATGAGACAGTAATACCCGCACTAAGGTGTTTGCCTCTAAATGCACACTCCTTCATATTGGGCTTACCAAGGAAAAAGTCCAAATAATTCTATAATTTATACAGTACATGTATTTGTCAAATCGAGCATAAAATGCTCAGGTGACCATGTGACCCATGAACCTCTTATACGCATTTCATATACTTAATTCATTACCAGTCTGAAATAACAGAATTTAATTAATGATGTAAATTAGATTTTGAAAAAAGGGGGGGATATAAATTTTTGGCCCATAATTGGAACTTTTTAAATTTATTTTCTCAACAACAAATAATATTATTTCAGTACAAAGCGTTTTTGATGAATTTATCAAAATGTGCAAACTTTTTTTTGTATTTGATTAGGCAAAAACCTCCTTGAAAAGCCATACCCAATCAATTTTGCCCCCCCCCCCTCCCCCAACACACACACACACACAATTTGCCTGTTTTTGGAAATAGGCCTAGATGGCAAAGTTATGTTAAAACATCATTTGTTATGATAATTTAGAATTTGTTCTTGTACTGTACATGTATGTGAACACCTTTTTGAAAATTTCTACATCACATTGGGCTTGCGTCACCCTACCAGTGCGAGTACTAGTTTTACCATTATCATTTTTAGATTGCACATGCCATGTGACATGGTGCAGTGTTACATGTATATCAGTGGAAATTAATTCATTTTGTGTTTTAATTGGATTATATTTCATGAAGTTGACAGGACCTATGACAGTCGGTAAGTACAAGTTTAAGTATAGATTGGGGTAAAATAAACCGAAATGCAAATAGTTAGGTTAAAGTTTAAAAAGGATCAAAGATCATCGGCAATCTCCTATGCAGAGTTGTCGTTCGTTTCTCTCTCAGACACTGAATGTATGAGCCGATGGTAGAGAGTGGATCAGATGCCACAATAGACGAATTTCGCATTCTGAAGAAGAGTTATCTCCCGTTGTCGACATTACATTCAGTTACAGGCACAGATCCGGGAATTTTTTTCCGGGGGGGTCCACACCTCAGTCCAAAAAAATTCCAGCGCAGAATTTCCTGAGAAGCAAAATAAAAAAAAAAAAACCCAAACAAAAACAAAAACAAACAAACAAAATAAAAACAATGATGGTGGGGTCCATGTTTTTAAAGGGGGAGGGCATCCAAAGTCATGTTTTATTTGCTTCTGTAAATCAGTATATAGTCCTATTTAAATAACTCTGCAAATTCCAGGGGGGGGGGGGGTCCAATCTCCCTAGCTGTTCCCTGTCCCTGAAATGACAAATGATCATGTGACTCCTGAATAGTAGAAAACTTTTCCATTTGACTATACATAATTTTGTTTCTTGTGTTATTATGTTATGTACATCTAATGGTTTAAGGTTATGAACCCCTGGAGGTCATCCCCACTCTCTTAATGAACTGGAAATGTTCATAATATGACTACATCAAATTAAATAAAAGTGCATCAATGATAAGATTACTTGACATTTCATTCATGAATTTGGGTCAACCCATGTACCCTCCTAGAATTAGGAATGAAAATCATTCAAAGAGATGGACCATTAAACTATTTGTATATATTCACATTTTTTTATGTCAAACCAAAGTATTAGACTAGTTTGCATACATGAACAAACAGGGGTCTGGGAAGGGGAAGGGGCAAGGGGAAGGAGTTATCTCTTTACGTCTTAATTGTTGAAAACTCCTAAAATGAATGTTAACCTCAAATCTGACTTGTATGTCTTCATTATTTTTAAGTGGTGGTGTCTCCGTATGAGTGATAAATTCCCAAGAGGGACATTTAACAACAAGGTTGTGCATTTTAAAATTCACTAAGCTCTGTAGTTGAATTAGCTATACCAGTTTAGCTTATTTTGCTACTCAAAGCACCTTAATTAACTATTTTTAATCATACTGTTTTCTGAAATGTGAAGTTTTTTCAACATGATATAAGTCATACCTTTTCAGCTTCTGAAAACAATGCATGAAAAAAAAAACTGCTTTTCAAATACTGTAACTCTTTCCAAGTACTTGTGATCATCAGTTTTTAGCTCACTTGAGTTTTTCTGATTTTCTGATCACATTTTGTTTGTCATCCATCTGTCCACCTGTAAACTTTTCACATTTTTGTCTTCTTCTCTAGAACAGCTGGGCCAATTTCAACCAACCCTGCCACAAAGCATCTTCGGGTAAAGGGGATTCAAGTTTGTTCAAATGAAGGGTCACACCCTCTTTCAAGGGGGAATAATCAAGAATTAGTGAAAATTTGGTGGTATCATTTTAAAAAAGTCTTATCAAGAACCACTGACTGGGCCCAAAAAGTTGAAACTTTCTTTACATAGACTTAGTGTAGCTTCAAATTTGTTAAAACTATGACCCACTGGGGTAGGGTGGGGCCACATATGGGGATCCAATGATTTACATAGAAAAATGCAGGGGATTTTTTCCATCATAAATCTTCTTCTCATGAACAGCAAGGGCATTATTGTCGTCCGTTTTCACAAAAGGGACCTAGGGGACATTAAATCTCATTTGTCTGTCAGTCTGTCCATTTGTCAGTCTGTCCGTCTGTCACAATAAATTTAACCTTGGTCATAACTTTTGAATAATAAGAGATAGGGCTTTCACATTTCACATGTACATTACCTACAAGAACTTCCTAAACATACCATGATTTTTGAACCCATGACCTTGACCTTGAAGTTTGACCTACTTTTCAAAAAATTTAACATTATTTTAAATGATCATTTTGAAAGAGAAAAGATAGGGCGTTCATATTATACATGTATATTACCTGTGACAAGACCTTTTTAAATATATCATGACTTTTGACTCTGTGACATTGACCTTGAAGTTCAACCTACTTTTCAAAAATGTTATATTTCCTTATAACTTTTTATTGAGAAGAGATAGGACTTTTATATTTGACATGTACATTATCGTAACAAGATGTTTCCAAGCATGCTATAATTTTTTTACCCCTTGACCTTGATGTTTTACCTAATTTTCAAAATTTTTAACTTTGGTGATTACTTTTGAATGACATATGATAGGGCATGCATATTTGAAACAATATGTCATAAATAATGGCATCCCATCCACTAGGACACGGAAAGCAGGGGACCACAATTCTTTGAATTTGCTTGTTAGTCATTTTGATATGGAAACATCCTCATATAGTGTAGATTCAAGTTTTTTATGCCCTGCCATGAATATGGTTGAGGCATATAGTGTTTGTCATGTCCGACTTCAATAAAACGTCATATGCTGATACATACTGATGTAAGCTTTTCAACTGCATCAAAATTTTTGACCTTGACTTTTCCTTTGACCTTGACCTTACTTTTCTTAAATTAGTGTCTAGATCAGTTTTGAATAAACAATTCAAGATATATTTATCAAACTTCATATGCTGAAAGATACTGCTGAGAGCTATCAATTGCATCAACTTTTTTGACCTTGACTTTCCCTTTGACCTTGACCTCACTTTTTTAAATTAGTATTTATCT